TGTTTTTTTGTACGGCTGGCTGTCTGCCCATCTGCCGCCTCTTTGCCCTGTTTGCTCCGTTACTCCCATGCCCTGGTGCGCAGTGCCTGGTGCTGGTACGTTACGTTACCCTTTCATTTTTTCTTTCGGAGCGTCCTCCTTTATTTTTATTTTTTTATTATTTTTGTTTTGTTTTATTTTGATCAGTGTCCGAGGGCTCTTTTCTCGAACAGTAGGTGCGATACCTGTTCTTTTCTTTCTTTCGATCATTTTGTTTTCTTTTTCCGAGTGGTTTGTATCCTATCTTTGTTTTTTGTTTTCTCGCGGCGTCGTATGTGCCGGGTTTTGAGACCACGGGCTCCCCATTTTTTGTGGACTATAGAGCTAATGTGAGAAACAACAACAACAAACAACAACTGGCTGCAGCTCTCTCTCATGACCCAGCACTCGTGTAATTTTTGAAATATTCCTGCGCATGCAGTTTCTTTCCTCTCTGCGCTGCCATGTAGTTGCTGGGAAGCTTACTCACCGCACGCGACGCCGGCTACCACAATCTGGTAGGATTGACGGCATTGACTGCTGCTGTGCATATCGGCAACCATACACCAAGGATACCCTCACCGGCTGTCTTGTCTCCCTAGCGCCCAGAGATAGCGGTGGTTACACCTCTTCCGAGTTTGGGCTAGGAGGATTGATTGCCGGCGGCAGCTTGTAGATGCCGTCTAGACTACGGCAGTAGTACCTCCTGCCTCTAGAAGAGCCAGAAAGACCTGACGGCGTGCAGCTGTGGGAAAGGAAGACAAAATCGTGCGTAGCGTGCACAACAAACGAAGAAGCTCCAAGCCAAGCAGGACAAGGGTGCCGCCAGCGACTTTTTATACTTATGTGGTCTGGTCCGCCAACGCAGGGAAGCGCGGCAGATTGTACTAGCGCACAGACTAGGGGGTACCCAAAGCACCACACAGCACAGAGCAGCAGCAAACCGCAGGATAGGAGACAGGAGCATGCCGAGGAGCATGGTGTCATCTTCGGGAGCAGCGAGAAGAAGTAACAAATTCACATCAAAGCGGCGTCGCGTAGTGCTTGGATTATGCCTCGTCCTGCTGCCAACGCAAGGAGGTTCCTTCCATGTTCTCCCGTCGAGATGCCGCTTCGAGAGCCAGCTCCGTTGTCATGCAACCATGTCGAGGTCGCGGCAGCTGAACAGCCAGGCGCAAGAGCTCGACGGTGGGGATAGCGGGTCGGTCCCTGGTGTACTCCGCGATGTTGTCATCGAGAAAATCGAGGAGCTGGGTGGCGGGAAGGTGCAGCAGGTGTGTCTGTGTATACATACAAAAGAGGAATGCATGTGGTCGCACCATGTGTCAAGCAAGGGCCCGTGAGACAACTTGCTGTCCTGCCGGACCTGCTGTGTGTGCGATGTGTTGTGCCCACGCATCTCTATCACTTATGGTGCTGTCGTTTTCAGTTGCCTTGCAGAAACATCATCTGCCACCCACGTGTGATGCACACGATCAATTGTACATGTGTAAAGGTGCAGGAGACTACGGCTGGACCCGGACTACATAACAGGCACTTCAAGTACACGGCTACCGGCGGGACCTTCATGGCCAAGATCGCGAAGCCGAGCCGCTCGAATCCTCCGACGAACGACTGGCGGGAGGCCAGTCTGGACAATTTCTTCGCCGAACAAACAGGTCTAGAGGTACGGGGAACCAAGCTTAATGGTATGCACCTTAGCTGTACGTGCGAATTGACGACTCAGTAACGAGGGAGGCTGAACGAAACGTTCCCTTCTCCCTGCGCACCTACCACCATCTGTGACTGGCAGGCCATCTTGGCAACGGGCTGCTTGCGCGCCCCGAAGCCTCTGGCTCTCGGGACGTTGCCCCTCGGTGGTTCGTTTCTGCTTATGGAATACATGCCCTTCATACCCTTCGGACAGTCCATACCAGAGGTTTTGCGGAACCTCGGGGAGGGGTTGGCAGCGATGCACTTGCAAGACCCTCCTCCGTCTTGCGGAGGGTTCGGGTTTGTCGGGGACAATTTCCTGGGGGGAACGCGTCAAGTCAACACGTGGGACAAGGACTTCTCGAACTTTTTCGTGCAGAGAAGGCTCTCGCCGCAGTTCGCGCAAGCCAGGACGAAGTTCCAGGACAGCTGGGGCACCAAGAATGAAGACTTCGAGAGAATAGGAAGGGAGGCCATCCTAACGGCGAAAAAGGTCCTCGAGCCGGTGGCAAACTCGAAGCCGGTTCTTCTCCATGGTGGTGAGTTATAAGGGAACCAAGGGAGCAGGACCCTACGTCGCCGCAAAATTAAACGACATACAGCAATATTCTTAATTCCCGGGGTGTCTTTCTGGACAAGCAGTGCGGTTGTTGTCTTCGCCTTTGAAGTCGTTCTTGACCTTCATCCAGCAACTCCTCATCCATCTGTACGGCAAAGCAATGAATTTCCCTGGTCGCAAGGTAGCGGGTACGTCGGGCACACTGCCTGTAGCGGACAGATAGTAGTTCAGCGCTGGTGGAGGGGGTTCCGGCGCTTCGCAAAGAGGGTCCCTGCGGGACTTGTTGCCTTGGATGCTTGTGAAGGGGTGTTCATATCCCTCACCCTGTCCCAAGCGAAGCAACACGGTTGTTCCTACCCGTACTGCCCTCTCTCTTTCGGGTAACTCGTCACACTTCACAAGGAACATCCACTGCCCCCTGCCCGCGCGGCTTGCGCGTTGCAGATCTCTGGGTGGGTAACTGCGGAGGCGTACCGGGAGAGGGGAGAACACGAGAGGCGGCTGTTTTCGACCCCGCGGTATGGTATGGTCTACCCGAGTTCGACCTCGCCCTGGCCACGATGTTTGGCGGATTCGGGGAACCATTCTACGAGACGTACCACGCCATAATACCCAAGGCCCCGGGGTTCGAGCGCAGGATGCGGGTTTACAAGCTATACCATTACCTTAACCACTTGAACCTGCACGGTGCAGGGTTCGGCCATGGGGGCACGTTCGAAGACCCAAAAGGGTACTATGAGCGGAGTTTGACGTTGATGCAGGAGATCGTGAAGGACGGCTTTTCATGAGCAGACGGACTTTACAGTAGTTTCGCCTCTTGTTCTACCTTAGGTGTTTAATGGCGGGTGGCGAGTGATAGTAGTCATCACTTTGGATCACGAGGTCTGCTTTTTGCGTCTCTTTCGTGCGGCGGAGATTTTTGTGGGCAGTCACATCTGCTGGGAGCCTAAACAGTACCGTATGTATTAGCGGCAGACAACACAAACGGCTGAATGTGTTCAACGACGGCCAACGAGAGAAGGGAGAAACGTAGAGGACCCATCCATGTGTCCCAACCATACACACAATGATGCAGCCGTTAAAGCAGCCCGTTTGCGGAGTGGGGAATGAGCGCTGTCGTTGTACGCCGACAATCCGGCGGGCGGTATTTGTCATCAAGCTGAATTTGGCTTGAACGCGGAAGCGGGCACCGCGCAAAGACCTAGTTGGAAGAGAGAGAGACAGAGACAGCAGTATTTTTATTTATCTCGTATGTTTACCTACATATTAAGTCAAGCGCTACAACGTACATACTGACTGGCTGGTTTCCTTGCAAACCATTTTTTTCTGAGTTTCGCATCCGACAAAATGATCAGAGGCCGTGGTAAGGGGGAACACACTTTTTTGTATCACTCACGCGTGAACCCTCTCGCCATCAGCACTCACATGCGAAGAGAGTGAAAATGAACCAAAAACTGGAAAGGGTGAACGTAGCTCCTCAGTTGTAATTTGCACGACAACACGCGCAGTCTTTCTCTGTCCAACAAAGCAGCAAGCTTGGTGAAACAAATTCAAGACGTAGCAAACATCTGCGGATACACCGACTGCTCAACAACCATTTCATCTGCCGATAGGACACCGACAGCTCTCACACGTAACTATTCGTATCGAACCTTTCAACTGTACATTCCCTCTGGCACAACATCCAGTCGTCGTTTGAGCCGAATTTGCCCACGCTGGCAGTGTTAGACCCTGCGTGCTCTGCATTCACTCATATCACCGACTTTCAGCCAAATGCCCACGACAGTCGCCCTTCGTTACATAAACTACGTGCTTCTCTTGAGATAGATATCTTTGTACAACAACAGATGCTTTATACTTTGTCCTTTCTCTCTCTCCCATCACACTACTGACCGACCATCTATCCGACCGACTAGGCTACGAAACATATAGCCATGTAGCTTTTTTTGTTGCTGGCAACAGAGAGCCATGCTCGGAACCAGACCTGGGCCAACAGAAAGCTCGCTCATGTGGCCATCTAGAGCGCAGACGCAAAGAGCTCTACATCCAAAACCGATAGGAGATAGCTCGACCACAAATGGCGGTCGACGTTTTCGCCCGTCAATTTCCAAGCGATCACCAGGGATTTGCGGCAATCTCTCCCGTTTTTCGCGACATGTATCTCGTCCACATATCTCTCACGTTTTCTTTCTTTTTTAACCCGTGAATCGTCTGGACTACCAACACACCTACGTTTCGATCGATTCTTGAACGGTTGCTGAGAGGTGCTCTTGCCCACGATTTAGGATCAATGACCCCCCCGGCGCCACAGCCTGTCAGTGCACGCGTGATAGGGTCCGCCAGACCACTTCCCGCACCGAACCTGTTCTCCCGTAGAATTTACACCGATCGAAGGCGATCACAAGAAAAGGACTCCTCACCACATTCCTCCCCTAAGCGACCGCGTTCCAACCGCTCTCTGGACTAGTTGCCGCCGAATGTTACAAACAAATGCAAAACCGTGAAACAAGCGTTGCCCTACGCTCCTGTTGCTGCTCCAAACCACGTATCCAAAAAAACAACAGGAGCACCACTGAATAATACGCACGCACGCGTCGTATGTACACGAGTATTTGCCGACGAGATATTCCTGCACCTGCTTTTTATAGTATATACACAACCACACCAGCTAAACTACGCTGGGGGGTATCTTAAAACCTCCGCCTGACGAGGGACCCAGAAAGACTTTCATGACTCATGATCACCAACACGCCGAGCATATACCCTCCACCCCGTGAACGCAAAAATGGGAGGAGGACCATTGTCCGTCAACTATCATGTCTGCGCTACCCCTCTTCTGTCTTGCAATGTTCTCCACGTATTGCGTGGTCTCGACATTCACCCTGCCCGGATGCGGACGCCTGTCTGCAGACATATTGCTCTACTGCTGTGGGCGCGTCTATCTTCGGAAGGACCTCGGCGGCAGAGTTCGTTCTGAGTTGCTGAGCATGTCCACCATCTGACATCGTTGTGCCAACGCCTTCGCGAGAATACTGTAACTTCAGAAAAATTCCGAACCGCACGTCCCCAGTTGGGTCCCCTAGAAGCCGAAACCAAACCGCTAATAGACTATGTTCGTCTTGAACCCCACGAATAGCTGTTACAGAAGCCGAAATCAAACCATCAGCTGACTAGTCTCATGATTCGGCGCCTATAGTCCGGTCCAAACATCCCTCCACAACCACACTTCCGCCGACACTTCCGCCGATAGGCAACGCAACAAGAAACTCACAACTGCACCACCCTCGACGGATCTGCGCCATAGAAACACCTGTCGCAGACCCTGCACGCTTCCAAGACGCCCACTCTCGGCAGAGGCTTGCGGTGGTCGGAGCACGGGTCGCACACCAGGAGGCCGCACATCCGGCAATTGTGCTTGTCCCTTGCTCGCTGGGCCTTGAAAAGGGGAAAAGAAAGAGGTCGGTCGAGGGTTGATAAATGTCGCATTGTTCGTCGAAAGTTGTCGGCGGTGAGGGTGTGCCAACCTAGATGGTACCAGTTAGGCGATGCTGGGATAAGCGATGGTTGAGCTGGGAACGATATCGAGTTTGCATGTTTTCTGCGTGAGTCAATGCACATTTGAGTTGTTCAAAGGGAAAGCGGCGCCAATTGATGTTAGAGACCAAGGAAGGTGCAGTAACCGTTACTCCGGCTAGCCGCAAGCACCAACAAGTACAACACTATGCGTTGTTTCGCTGACTCGCGAAAAAAAAGACCGATTTCTCGAAAATACCCTTCTGTGAAGGGTTTCTGCGTACATGTATTGGTCAATTCTGCTCTTGGTGGAACCACAGCTGCCGCGATCGCAATGGATGATGGTGCCCGCTTCGATCCCCGAAATTAAATCTTAATCTTGCCATGAACGCCGCAGGCAGAGGACTCTCCGCCCGAATCCCCAGAAAATACAAGTCAATGCCATAAACAAGCCTTCCAACTTCCAACCCTGTGCCCTTGCTTCTAACACCAAACACCCTCGTTCAAAAGCCGAAGGGAGAAGGGAGAGCTCGAGGAAAAACCCAACCACTCGTTTCTATCCGCACACTCGAGTTCAACGGGGAAAAAAAAAACACCAACTCTCTGGTCAGTTCCACACTTGAGTTCAACAAACAAAAAATAACCCACGAACTGTCTGGTCACTTTCTCATGTCGGTCTGTCTCACCTCTGACTTGGAGGTGGACGCCCACGAGAAGTCGGCCTTGCACAGCTGGCACACCTCAGACTCCGAGAAGGGTACCCACTCGGGCATGAACTCTCCCTTCGCCTCCGCTGCGCGTACCGCCGCGATTTCCTCCAGCGCGTCAAAGTACCTTTTAGGATGGTTTGGGCGGAATAACAAAACCATCGCGAGGGCAAACAGAGAAAAGGGCGAGGGGCACGCGCGCGCGGCGAGGGTACAGAGCATGTCTGCCTTGGTCATTCGGCTTTTAGCACCCGTGCCGAAAGCGGGGTGGACTTCCTCGTGCTTTCTGAGACTCTTCCTGAAACCAGCAAAGGCGAGAGGGTATCAACTTTTTCATGGATTGGCCCAGCGCGCCCCCACACATAGCCTTGCATCCTTACACAACACCGGTACATGGCCTGTCTGCTTCTCTGCCTGCCCAAGGTACACTGGAGGAGGAGGAGGAGGAGAAGGAGGAGGACGACGAGGAGGACGAGAACGATGCCCCAAGACTTTCGATAATAAGTGCCGTCTGTCTCGAGTACCCTGGCGTAGACGGAGCACACCTTTGTACGCTACACAAAGCAGGCTTTTGCAACAAGCCCATCACCACTACAAGCAGACGCAGATCAAACGAATACGCGAGGGGGGAGGAGGGGGCGGGTAGAGTGCGGGAGACGGTGGGGGGTAGGTTTGCCTGCAACTGCTAGCGAAAGGGCAAAAGATTACAAATCCAGGTGGACACTTACGCGATGCTGGCGTGATCCGCGAGCATGTTCCCGTACATCGGGATGGTGCGGAGCGTGTCGTGGTCTCTCGGGACCTCGGTAGCTCGGTACACGCCACGCTGGCTGCAGGATTTTGGGGAAAACATAGATCCGGGGGGAGGGATCGGTTCGTGATTTTTGTGAACAGTGCTGGTGCTGTTGATGCATGATCAGCGAGTTGATATTTCAGGAGGACGAGGGAAGCCACAACGTATACCGCTGGCTGCAATAATACGTGGCCGGTAAGATGCGGAGACTGCAGTGGATCAATCTACCGTGTACTTAAGCGAGTGGTCGCGGAGGAAGGATGTGCCACGAGGCTTGGAGCACAGTACACGCCCAAACCGTATGCAAACATGTCCAAAACTTCGTTCGCTCACCTACACAACCAGAAACGACAGCCGTTATCCACGACGATACTCATCATCGATCGGCGATATACCTTGAAAGAGCGGGGCAAAACCAATCCGTCTGTACACTAACACCACAAAAAGCGGGGTAAAAACAAAACTGCAAGTCGCCTCGCCCATCAAAGACAAAGGCCGACAGGCGCCACCAAGTGTGTGCCCAGTCTTGCCTGTAAATGTGGACGATTCTTCCCGGGACGTACAGGTCTGGGAGCGGCAGCTCCTCTACCACCTCCGCCTCTTCCTCCTCTGACCCCGCGCCACCGCTGCCGACGACCACCGGGTCGCCACCCGAGGCACCAGCACCGTCGTCGTCTTTTCCCGGCACCAGCACTCCTGCCGGATCGCGGCCGCCGGTTCCACTACTACTCGGCAAGGTGTTGGTGTCGTTGTTGGAAGCGGCGGGTCGCGGGGGTACGGGAGGCGGCATGGCGGCCGAATCCGGGTCCTGCTGCTGGGCGGCGGCGGCGACCACCGGCGCGGTGAAAAACAACGGTTTCACTCTCCTAAAGTTTTGGCGAAGCTCAAACGTGTCGGATTGATTCTTACCAACTGCTTTGGGGCATGGGGGGCCAGGAAGCACAAGTTTGGCCGTGCGGCAGCCCTTCCAATCTTACAAGTGACACTGACCTTGACAATGTTACTGCGAATTCTCGCGCTTGTGTCGTCGACGATCCGGCTAAGGCGGCTCTGCACCGACCTAACGTCCACCGAGGACCACCGTCCCCGTTGCCACCGCCCCCCCTTGGCCTGCACCGCCTCTCCTGCATTCGTTTCCTCCCCGCTACCGGTTGCGGCGGCGACGTCTTCCTTAGCCACCACCACCTCCGTTGGCGATCCTCGTCCCCCCCACTCATCTCCACCATCGACCGGCGCGGCACCGTCTCCTCCCTCCAGCGGAGACGTCTTGCGGAGACTCGGCGACGCTGCTGCTGCTGCTGCTGCTGCTGCTGCTCCAACGCCGTCGCTTTTCACGGTGGATGCCTTTTCCTCTTCGTCGGTGTCGCCCGCGGGAACGATAGCGGTGCTATCGGTGGCACCGGAGGCTTGCTGCACCGCGGCGACCGAGGCCATTCTCCACCGGGGGGCCCAAAGTCCCTTAGCGCGGCCGACGACGGCGTCCCAGTCGTTGTACAGGTGCTTCACCCAGCCCTCCTGATGCAGGAAGGCCAGACAACAAAAGACCATCGGCCGCTCATTAGTACAGAAAGTGCACACAAAATAGATGCCCCCGGGATGACCTAGCAACAGTAGTGTTACATGCGCAAGGCAACGCTTTTTGTCCTATCTGTTAAAACAATGATCCACCGCTCTGCGAGAGCTGTGGTTTCCGTCCGGCCGTCTAACAGCGCGACAACGCTTGCAATACCGGGTCAAGTATCCCTCGTCTATCGGCAGGTACGCAGCACATGGCTCGGACAAGCCAAGCAAAGGGGTGCGCAGCGTGGCCTACGGCTGCGCACCCATCGCGCCCCTCCCCCTGCACCGAACCGTACTGCACCGATTTTGCCCAGGCAACGCACTCGATCGATCCATCACCTTGGTGCACAAGAGGTCCTTGAGCAGAGCACGAACGGCGTGGGGCGTGATCCTAGGGACGACGTCGTCGTGCAGAACCACGCTGGTGCACAGGCCCTCGCACAGCCTGGACACGCCGATGTCCGCGCAGGCGGGGGTGGCGAATCCTACGACGCGGACATCGGGGATCGCCTTTTCCCAGGGAAGGTGAAGGCAACCCACGAAGGAAACATATAGCAAGCAAACGATAGGGAAAAATGGTTACTTTTGTAGATACGGGGCGGGGCGGGTTGAGGTCTCTCAAGTACAAGTATTGTCCTTCAGGAGCCGGTCAGGGGGGGGCGTGGGTCGTACAAAAGCGTTCTTCCATGCAGAAAGGACGTACCCCATCCCTTCAACACGCCAGCTGGATCTTGAGCAATCCCTGCTCGATTTTGCCTACAATCGTAAAAATAGGGTTTTTATCACCGCCACCTCTCAGAACGAAGGCACAGCAGTCGACACTGGCAGGATACATGTCTGCTTTAGTCGCTAAAAGGTTTTGCAGCATGATCCATTGATACGTTCGCATATACTTTGCATCGGGTGACTGCAACGGCGCCTTTAAATAGCCAGAAAAGAACTCGTTCATCGACAGAGCGATGAAGCTGACGCCACAGCTCAATCTGGAGGAACCAACCATGAAGTCCAGGCCTTACCCAAAAATGAACACACAAACGGGCCTGTCTCGTACCAGTACAGTGCGAACCTACCGCAATTCTCCCCAACACGTGGAAGAAGAACCTTCCCCAAGCACAGAGGTGAGCTCTTGATCTGTCTGAAAACACAGAGATTAAACATGAACACGCAAAGTTACGATTCCTGTGCTTACGTCTTTCAGGAGGACGCCCAGAAGCGCCGCCACGCCGCCTCCAAGCGAGTGCCCGAGTATAACAATCTTGTAGTTCTCCCGGTAAAGCTTGATCAGCTGGTGCACCACCTAGTCAGGAAGACAGACAGAGGGGAAAGGGGAGGGGGGGGGGGGGAGGCGGATGGCAGTCAGCATTTCCAAGTGAACCTCCTCGTTAAAACAATACGGTGCGGTTCGTGGTTCTCAAGGCTGCCTGCTGTCTTTTGTACATGCATGCCGCGCGGCATCCGGGTTTCCGCCCTCCGATACACTTCCGTGAGCGAGGACGTTGTGAACCACGAAAAGCACAGACTTGTGAACCCACGAAGGCACTTGAGACCACTACGGAATAACACTACGTAGTTCAATTTCTGGCCGCTCCCGCTTCACGCCGAGAGACGCTTCATCTCATATATCACGTCCTTCGATCGCACTTTACTTGAAATTCCGCAACATGAGGAGAGGTAGGCAGACGCAAAAGGAAGTCTCACTCAGAGCGCTAATATACATGCAGCAAGCACCATCTCGTGGTGTCTAACCTCGCGGTGTAGCCACTCAGCCGCCCTCGCGATGCCGCTGCACGCCACGGTTTCAGTCGGGGGCAAGTCGCTCCACCCGTCCGCTTCTTCCGCCGCACCTGCCATCGTCGACCGCACAAGTTTCGGTTCCGTCCGGTCGTTTTCGTCACGCAACCACACCACACAGGCCCTTCCTTGCCCTACCGCGTTATTTGCGTTTCGTCTACCCCATCGAGAAACCTGCACGCGTCACATGGCTAACATCTCGACCCGCGCACGCACCAAACCTGCAACCACTCGTCAGGAGCGGGTTTCCATGGCACTCGACCCACCACCAACCACAAGTATCCTCGGCTTCGTTCTGCTGGTCCCCCCCCTTACCCGATTCGGCGTCGCCCCGCGGAGAGGGAAACGGCACCGGCATCGCCTGGATGTCGGTGATGACGTCCTGGATGCTTCCCGTTCCCCTCACCACCAGCGAGGCGGTCTTGGTCTTGCCGCACGCGAGCAGCGAGAAGGCGGGCTGGTGGAACCGAGAGTCGGGCTTGTGGAACACCAGCGACCAGCCCGTGTTGTTGCAGAGGACCTGTTGTCCGCGTGGTCGAAGAAACGACAACGAGTGAAGAAAGCAAGCGAATCATGTTGTCTCAGACAAGCCTCTGGGAGATTTTGACTTTGCGGCGCCGACCGCGAAGGGTCCACCACACGCGTCGAGAACAGCAACAGCAACAGCAACAGGGGGGTCAACACACCAAGGTTTCTGAGAGCCCTTGCCCGTATCGGTGAGAACGCAAACCAAATAAAGTAAAATAACGGTCGCAACAACACGAAGACAATACTTCCAACACACGTGCCGCGAACCACAGTTGGCAGGCCGAATATTCCTAGGCAATTCTAGACAAGCTTCTACTACTGTTCAACATACCTGAAGTTCGAGCGCCGTCTTGGTGTAGGCGAAGTGGAGGGGAAGAGCAGACATCCTGCCGAGCACAGAACAAGCCGTAAAGAGACCCATGTGAGAAGTTTGTTCTTCATAATGCCAGAACATAGTCTACAGAAGTCTTGCAAGCCACCACCACAGCGCGACTGTCGAGAACTAGGTAGGACAAGCAGAAAACGGCCACTGAACGTTGCCTTTGCCATTACTAGAAAGCTGGTTCATGCGAAATGCCAAGGACAACGTTCGCCGACAACGGTATCAAGGCAAAACAACCTCAGAACAAATCATTTTTGGGGGGCCATTGGCGATTGGCGAGAATAACGAACGAAGCTTACAAGCGACCCGCACAAGGATCATGCATAGGGAAACAACCTTGTGGACGCTTGACTACCGCGAGCATACGAGGATGCACCGAGCAAAGCACACCAGAGTCGAAGGAGGACAAAACAAACTTAACAGAACTCCGGCCCCTTGAACCGCGCGCCTCTCGGCGACCAACACACATCTACCTTTGGGGTTCATGTACCCCAAAACAGCGCGGCAATCGCGACGTGCTGCTGCGGTCGGGCCGACAACGCTCACCTGCGGAGGAACGCTAGCTCGGCGTCGGAGATGGCCTCGCAGTCGGCATGCGCCTCGTGCTCGCCGTTGGGCGCGGAGCCCCTCTCACCCCGCCGCTGGGCGAGGAGGTAGTACATGGCGGCGGTCATCTCGTGCACGCTCATCGGCCACTTCCTGGGATAGCAGCGACAAAAGAGGCAAGGCAATAGCGTGTATGTATGCATACGGGACCTTCGTAAGGCTACAGAAGCATCTTGGCGAGCGAGCGTGATATTCCGCTGTATTGGCGGGAGTAACCAGATGTTCCTGTTACGCCGTACAAGAGGGTGTTGTTGTTGTTGTCTTCACATTACATGAGATTGTGACCGGGAAACATGCCCCAAGGCGTCTGTGACGGATGTGACCAGGCGCATGAGCAAGCAGACGACACAACACGAATATTCGTTTCAGGGCTGCATGCAGAAGAAATAAAATGACAATAACATGTGCTTTTCGGACTTTCCCTTGATGAATCTTCTAACGTCTACTGCTCTCACTTGTCGACACCCGAGAGGCGCTTGAGCACTTCCACCGCCTCTATGAACTCCCGACGGAGAACCAAGCCCGCCACACCCGCCGTGCCGTACTTCATTAGCACGTCCATCACCTCCACGGACACCTGCATGGTCGCGACATGAACGGAAGTAAACAAATGCAAACGACTGTAGCGATGATATCATTCGTGCGAATCTTCGGTCACGCCCGTTGTCGGGCCCACATGCAAACAACCATAGCACCGCTTTGGGGATCGCGAGGTTTTCAGGGCAGGGAAGGTTTTCTCCTCCAGCCGATGCGGGCGTACTCTTTGATACGTTCCTACCCGACAGTCAAGTGTGGGAGGGAGGTGTTGGTCATGCACACGCACCAGGCTTCGACAAAGAACAACCACTTTAAACAGATGCCTACGTAGCAACAGGATATTTCTCCTGGCTAACCCGGTGTTGCCTCTCAAAACTCACTAGACAGGTAGACAGAAATTAAAGTCACCTTGACGGCCGTGCCCAGCGGTGCCGACTTGGCCACGTAAATAGCGCCGTCCACCACTCGAAGAGCCTTGTCGCCCACGGTGTCCTGCCCGACCACGAAACGCGCCGCAAAACCGTGAGCAAGAAGGGGGTCCCGTGGGAAGGAAGGGCGTGGGTACGTGGCGTTATTGCCACGACGGAACTTCAGCCACATACACCTGTGATGAAAGTGACGATTGCTCCTGTACAAGGCCTACATAGCAATGTCACTGTTTGTGCCCGTTTAGAATGTCGTAAACATTCCTACGATGGGGATAGCGGTTTGGTGCGTGTGTGTGCGGTTGCAATATAGCGTTTGGTCGGCTAGGATCGATGACGGCATCGCACGCAGCCCCTGGCGGAGGATCCTTTTGACAGCATGCTTGTCCATTTCATCGGTATTCACGGGCCTATTTAGGCTCGAGGACGAAGTCCCAGTGGTAAATGAGGACGAGAAACGCTGTTCTACGCGTGTGCGGCTTGTAGGAGTGCACGCCTCTGCAGCACAAGAGGCATGTCGATGCATGGGAACCCAACGGAGGCATGCTTACCAATGCTGAGGCGTCAGCACTGACCCCCAAAACGGGCGCGCACAAGCTCTGGTGACAAAAACAACCATGCCTACACAACTCACCACTCCTGTGTCGAAGTACGAGATGAGACGGTTCTCGAGGAAAGCGTTCACACGCTCAAGTCTCCACTCGACGCGCTCTCGCCAGTCCTCCAGCTCGAGGGTGTGCTTGCAAGGGGTGCATACGCGCTGAGGGCGCAAGACAAACGTAAGGGGCACGGAAAATGTATACTAGTGGGTGTACAAGGAGGCGCTGGAACAACCACAATGCTGAACGCCTCGCCGCTTTGAATGATGATGGCACGGGTACCGCAAGCCAACCCCCCAACAGCATCCTTCAAAATGTAGAAGCTAAAACCTCCTCGAGGAAGTGCACGTATCTAGGCCCCGGAGTAAACGGCGCAAGTCCCTGCTCTACACAAAAAGCACACCCAGGCACGCCCATCAAAAGGCTCGCACCAGCCAGCAACGCCGACGGCATAACCTGCTTCTGCAGAGCAATCGAGCTTTAAAAAAAATGGTCAACGTGTGTGGGGGGTGTTATATTGCGCAACCTAACGTTCCACACCTGCGGGGCGGGTAGCCCTAGCTTGGGTATGGGGTGCTCGTGCCACGCGTGTTCGTGGCAGAAGGACCCGCCGCAGTGTCGGCAGTGGTGCCGGTACCGGGTCACCCCGAAGTCCTCCCCGCACTCCCGGCACTTGGGCTTCATCTCGAATCGGGGCGGCGAGAACAGCTGCGCCAGGTGGAACTGGGCCTCCTCGTCCCCCTGCCCGGCCTCCCGCCTGAGCCACTCCAGGAGAAGGTCCTGCGACGAGACCGTGCCAGGGGTACTCCCGTCAGCAGCAGCCTCGCCCGTAGCGGCCTCGTTCGCGCCTTCGACCCTCTCCTTGACGAGGAAAGCGGCGGTCACGCTATCCGGCTTCGTTGGCACCGGCGGGGGTGTCGCAGAGGCTGGGTTAGGAGCCGGGCAGCCCCCCCCGGCGGGTATCGCGTCTCCCGGCTGTTGAACGCCGTCGAGAACGGTCGCGTGCGCCTGGGCGAGGAGAGGTTTCGACGCCGACAAACCTCCTCCGCCGGTCGGCTCGCCGACTCGTGCCGCCTCGGGCACCCCGCCCGGGAGACTCGCTCCGCCCAGCCCCTCGTAAGTCTCCATGAACTCCCGCATCGACGCCGTGTCCGCAGCAGGCGCGACGGCAAACTCGACCGCGCCAACTCCCCCTCCCCCATCCTCGCCGGATTCCCACGACTCGCACAGGCCGTCGAGCGGCCCGCCCCCCGGTCTCACCCTGGGCGGCGACGGGCTGTCTCTCTGGCCGGTGCTGATGCCACTGTCGCCGCCGGCGCCGGCGCCTGGGAACGGCGGCCGGCCGGAAACCATGGCGTGGATGGGGTCCATGGAGTTGCACTCGTCGTCGAAAATCGGGGCGGTGACCCATGGGTCGAGGTCCTGGTGAGGGGTAGTTTCCATGGACATGACGCGGTACGGGGAACCGTGGCGAGTGGTGGGATTAGTGTCCACTTGGCGACAAGATCGACAACAAGCTCCGCCAACTGGGTACTACCATGTGTGCACACACCGCGTTCGTTTGCTTTGGGCAAACACAGAGGGCCGAGATCGAGTACAGAAACTGCGGAGATGGGGCAGGTCTAGAACGAAAGCGTGGTCCGTACTTCCATCCTCATGCAGTATTTCTGAACGTCTATATTCCCAACTTCAGGGAATGCAAGAGGGCATTTCTCTCGCAGCGGTTAGCTGCGGCGTCCGTCCTTTACCCTGGTTCTTCGTAGTCCAACACAAGAACCTACAAGTATGACTATCGACAAAAAAAAACTGTTAATTCCTATAGCCATCCCTTGCCTTGAGCGTTGCCATCACCGACGCGTCGGCTGGTCTTGCTCTGACGCCGAACCCGAACCCGCCGTCGCCGCCGCCGCTGTCACCGTGGACTCGTACCGATGGAGACAGGATGGGATCGCCGCTATCGCTTCCCTCTACGACTCCTTGCTTCTCCCCCTTCTCTTGTTCTTCATCTCTCTTCAAGGGCCCTTCCGAGGTGTCGCCGCTTCTGGAGTTTTCCACGAGCTGCCGATCGTACCAGGAGAGAGAACAGAACCTGTCCCGCCACGCGTGGGCCAAGTCAAAAGCCGAACAAGAGGAAGGGTGCAAACAGCACGTCTGCGGTCCCATTGGCATTTGACAACGCGGCAACACGAAGGTAACGTACGTATTTATGACCACCCACAAGAACCCGTGGGGTTCTCTGTTGTATTGAACCAGCTCTCCCGAATACCTCATGACGGTGAAAAACACTCTCCCCGGTACTAAACAACAATCGATCGTCAAGACGCCACGTGCGCTTGCGACACGCCACATCGGCAGTTGTGTCGGCTTCGTTGCCACCAACACCACCCCGGAAGTACCACACTGCAGCATGCAACCGAAACAAGCTCAGACCCTCCTCTCCCATCGTGTGTTGAGAGTAACCTTACCTAGCGCCCACGCCCGACCAGTCCACCTTGGCATTGTCCACCTGCCCCGGTGGGGCTTCCCCCCTACGGTGTTGCGAACGCATCTTGTCCACGTAACGCTTGGCGTGGCCGGCGGTAAACCTAGAGGATTGCAACAGGGTCAGGGGCAAGGGAGGTACCTCAAGGGGGGTAAAGGTTGAGAAGAGATTGTGCCATGTACCAGAGCTGGACCTCATACACCTGCAGGAAGAGGAATTTTACCGGTACATGACGGCGCAGCGTGTGAGACAACGTGTTGTGCATAAATACATGTGCCGGCCGCCGGTGGCAAGGTCGGAATTCGACACATTGTCATGAGGTGTGCCCCTCGAGTAGTACATACGGTACGGGATGGATTGCCCGTACCACACACTCGAGGGACAGACGCACCTTACGGCTGTTGTATCGAATTTGACTTTATCGCAGACGGTCATCTCATGCAGGCACAGAAATCCTTTCGCACATCGTGCCCTCGGCATCTAAGATACTGCTTCCTGTACGCCCTGCCAGCTTCGCCGTTTTACCCCGCCCGGAAATGCTGAGCGGACACCTCTTGGTAGAAGAGCTCAAGCAGCTGCCCAAGAAAACATGCCAACGGTGTTTCTTTCGCCTTTTCATCCACGCGGCCACCTACTCTCTCACCTCGCCGCCTCCTGAGAGGCCATCGCCGCGTACGACAAATACGGCTGCGACGCCTTGTGAGCGCGTGTCGCAAAGTGCCCGAGCGTGGGGACCAGAACGGACAGCCGCCCGGACCCTTGCTCGTCGTTTTCAAGGCCAGTCCCAGCTTCCGACGCCGTGACATCGTCACTTGCTTGCGCTAGCTCGCCATCAGCAGTGGTAAGGGCTTCTGTGTCTGGCGTTGATTCCAATTCCACCGCCGTGTTGGCATCATTTTCGACAGGACCGGTATTCGAATCCATAAAAACCGCGCCTTCTTCTGTTTCGCGCGCGAGCAAGTGGGAGAGGTTGAAAGTAGATGCTGCTGCGGAATAGTTGTCGACGATGCAAAGTTTGGGATGAAATGAGGCCTCCTGTGACGGCACGGGATCCACCCATATGTACACTTCATTCTTTCGATGTTAATCTTCCCTGTCATTGCTAACTTTTATCTCGTAATTCCCTATACATATGCATAGTTGATGCTTATGATCGACGTTTGACCTTCGTTACCCAAATGCCGAAAAACGCTCTGGGAAGCCTTCTTGAACCGGGAGGTCGACTGCCTCCATATACAACTGCTCATGCTCTTGTCGCCTGCTGTCGCCGTCGCTCAGCGGAGGAACGCCCCGCTTGTGTTGTCGGACCTACAGCAGTACATACCGCTGCGCCATCTCTCGAATTTTCCCACCCCTGAGGGCTTCTACTGCGTGCGGTCTCCGGTAACACTGCTTAATGTAGTCTACAATACCTAATATAATAGTATACTGGCCGCCGTCGTCCCTCAAATGTCAAATGTCTTTCGCGTATCTGAGTATGTGAGCTTGCAAGGCCGCAGTCATGCGACCTGCCGACCATTGCGACGCCCCCCCCGTGAACCATCGACGTTAACCTCAGGGAACAAGCACCCCTCACGCATGAACCAGTGCACCGACTTCGCCACCATGACGAACTTCTGAATACCGCTCGTACCGGACACAGCTTCTGACACTGCGACGCACAAATCAGAAACAAGATTGCAGCATGCCACCAAAGGGAATACTGCAGGAGCGGCGCTATTATGATGGCATTTAATTTTAGTGTTTTCCTCTTTCCTCGTCCCACTCACGTCATACTCTTATCTTCTCGCCGTGCTAATCGGCCTCCGCATACTGAATTACTTGTCGCTAGCATATGGTACCTTATGAGCTCTGATATGTATGGGGGGGTGATGATGGGGGGGATGACAGTTGTTTGCAGCGAGTGCTCACCAGCTAGCTCCAGGTTTTGCCTTAAATAAGAGATTGATATTCAGCCCGACACAACCTTACCTCACACTACCACTCCGCCGTCTGCCACTAGATAGAACAACAGATTAGAGCAGCAGCAGTAGTCGAAGCTGTCGGCGTTGTTGTTGAAGAACGACCGCCTTTTGGCGAAACCTTGTTGAACTGGTGTTGTTGAGACATAAGGTACGTCCAGACGACATGCTGTTACTCTCTGTTCTTTCTCTCTCGTCACTCACACCTATGACATGTAATAGGTGCGCGGGTTCATACCTTTGGAAGGAGAGAAGGCACTACTGGAAGCACAAGCAAGAGCAGCGTGCGCAGGAACGTCGCCAGCGTCGCACTGCATACACCATTTGAGCTCAACCATTTCCACTATCAGCGGCGGAAAGGGGGCCGGTGATTGCTCCTGAGAGCAAGGGGTAGAATATCCGCGTAGCGTACCCCCTAGCCACGGTCCGAATCCGAGAGGGAGCTCGCAAGGACCGCGACACATTGCACATTCTAAGCCACGAACAGCCCGGTCACGACCCCACCAAGCGCCTGAGACCGCACATAGATCCACGTGCGCGACGGGGGTGCGATTCGCTGCCCTGCCTTGTGGCGAGTGGAGACAAGTTTTCCCGACCCGTGCTCTACGAAGAACGGAGCGCCGTGCGGGAGACGCAAACGGACCCGCACTCTGCCCAAACCGGTGGGGTGAGAGACAACGTGTGTTTTCGGATCATATACGAAGCAAGCGGAAGAGTCGACGGCCGGGCTACGGACACTGCTGCGACGTCTTCGCTCTCTGCGGCCGCATCAGGAGGAGCAAGACAGAAGCGGAGAGGCACGGAGAGAGACAATTGAGAGAGAACTGCTGGCTCTTGGCGAAGGCGTTTGAGTTGGTTTTTGTTCGCCGACTCTGTCTCTCAAGGGCCCTGTCTTTCTCTCTCGCAAAAGAAAGCGCGGCACCGGCGTCTGTCTGTTGAGAGTTGAGAGCCTGCTACAGCAGGAAACTGCCAACTGTGAGCTCTCGACAACGTACTGCTGTCCTGATGCCCAACCGCAAAGGACGGCACACTGCCGCAGCACCGTCTTCTCTTCCCACCGAGAGCGCACTCCCGCCCCCTCCAGCCTACACACAGCCTGCCCCAGGCGGCGGCGGGAGTCGGGGGCGGCGAGCTCGGAACGATGGTTCGGACTTGCCGAACTACAGCAGTCGAAGAGGGAGTGGCGATAGTGCCGGGGCGAGAGACGGGGGGGCTAGAAGAGCAGGGTCGAATCCGACGGGAGGCTCCCATCGAGGTGGTGCTGGAGTTGCCGCTGTAACGAACCAAAACGGAGAAAGGGTAGAAATGGGTCGAAATGGGCAGGGCGGCGGCGGCACCGGCAGCGGCAGGCGGGTCGTGCATCGGGTGGGCATGGATTGCTTGAGCCCGATCAACGTCTCCAGGGCAGAGGGGGCTTCCAGTGGCGGTGAGCCATCGTACGGATAGAACAGAGGCAATCCACAGAGAGGACACACGCACAAAGAGAAGGTTTTTGTTTTTTGCCCCGAGTAGCTGCTCTCAGGGAGCACGCAGCGCTCAGCGATGACCGTTCAGAAGCTACACTTATACTACGACTTGTTGGAGAGCTGGAAACGAAGCCGTTCGCTTGCGTTTGGTCCTGCTGCCTCTGAATCTAGTCCATTGCAAAATCTCCAAACTCTGCAGTTCTCATCCATCACTGTCGGTCCTCGGTTTGTTTGCACCTCTCCTGCATTGCCAAACTCAGTTTGCTGCGACGGAATTGCTTCGAGATCATCCTCTCTCGCCGGACACCCTCTGTACAAAGTTGAATTCGTTCTGTTTCTCGTGCAAATGTTCCTTGTTCCCAATATTCATGATGCTGGCCAGCCACCCGCTGCCGTCCACCGCTCGCCTTCTCTATGTATTGTCAGTCACGTCGACTCCTGCTGTTGATTGCGGAGATCGAGGACGCGCCAGCTTTTCTCTCCAACCCTGATACAGTTTACCGTCTCAAGTGTTTAAACTTGCACTTCTATTATGTTGACATCTACCGAGCAACTGCCCCGTGTGGGTCCGTGATGTACAACCCGAACCAAGGAATCCATGTGCGTATGTACTATTATCTTGTATGCGTACATGACATGCAAGTTGTATGCACGTATGCAATTCCCATTGTTATTTTTCCTTTTTCCCCGTCTTCGTTTTTTCTTGGTGGGCGGTAGTAGCATCTGGACACATCCATTTCATCTGCCTCCTGTTCGGTGTTGCAGACGTGGTTCTCTCTCTCCCGATGTCCGATGTGGTATTCCTTCTGTACTTGTAGAGATCGGGTTGCACTTTCAAGGTTGTCGTCGAGATGCAACCCGCCGATCTGTTGGTGGAAAATCATGAATCGATCAATCCTCTCAGAAACACTGCCGGCCGGCTGACGTCCCTGCTGGCGACACCCCGGTCTCTTTCCTCTTTCTCGTTGGTGCGTACCCCATAACTTCCTCGCGGGCAGCAGCAAGCAGCCAAAGCACTTACGGGCGACGCGAAAAAGATTCCACGCCAGCCCTTGATGTGTGTTTTGATGGTAGAACCCTCGACGTAGATATGCATGTATGGACCATTTGCATATACCAAGTGGTTCTTGATCCAGCCCCTTGGCCAGCTGAGTTTTAGGAAGTTTAGCTACACACCTACACCGGATACCCGGTCTGAGTTTCCATCCACTTTTGATCGATCGCTGAAAGACTACCCGCTCGAGACCATACCCCTCGTCGAAGGGATGCGTTTCATGCAGCCAGTTAGTTCAGAATAGGAAAACTGGTGGATGCCGGGGTTATTTCGAGTCTGTGCAGGGATTCACTGAAAGATCGTTGATGCCAGCGGGCATGATTCACATCACCCTACTGAGTGCTGTACGTCCCCGCGTGCAGTTCTCTGTTTTGGGTCGACGACGACAATGACTCTTTTTCATGTCCCCTGGCGGACGTGAGGACACTCCGATGGACAAGGACAAAACACACCGAGTACGAAGAGTCACCCAAGTCGCTCACATTCAGCAAACAATGTGCCTTTGATGGGTTATTTTCCTCTGCTCGTTGTTATCTATTGTTCGGTGACTGTTGGCCACCGCACTCATCACGCGTTGCGACGCACGCGTGTTGTGTTGGCAGCTTAAACACCACTGCCACCAAGGCAATTCAAGAGTCGCGTCTGGTCAAGTTCCGGCTTGGGTGTCGTTTCCGTGTGAACAATTACATACTGTAGTTTGGATTTTTGCACGTTGAGGCTGAGTCTTACGGCGTGATTATTTCTGAGATTTTTTTTTTCTCTCGGGGGGGGGGGGGGGGCC